TGCTACACAGTAGAACATTGTTGTTTATCTATTCTGAATATAGTAGTTTGTATCTGCTAATCCCAAACTCCTAATTTATCCCTCCTCCCACCTCTTTCCCCTTTGGTAAACATACGTTTGTTTCCTATGTCTGTGACTCTGTTTTCGTTTTGTAAATAAGTTCATTTGTATCATTTTTTAGATCCCACATATAAATGATGTCTTTCACTGAATTACTTCACTTAGTGTGATAATCTCTAGGTCCAACCACATTGCTGCAAATGGCATTATTTCATTCTTTTTTATGGCTGAGTAGTATTCCATTGTATAAATAAACATCTTTATCCAGTCACCTGTTGATGAACATTTAGGTTGTTTCCGTGTCTTGGCCATTGCTTGTACTGCTGCTATGAATATTGGAGTGCATGTACTTTTTCAAATCAGTTTTCTCCAGACATAAGACCAGGAGTGGGGTTGCTGGATCATACGGTAACTATTTTTAGCTTTTTAAGGAACCTCCATACTGTTTTCCACAGTGGCTGCACCAAATTACACTCCCACCAGTAGGAGGGCTCCTTTTTGCCACATCCTCTCCAGCATTTGCTGTTTGCACGTGTGGGGAGCTGTTTGTTGAAAGCGGAAGGACTAGGGCCGACTTATCCTCGTCTCAGCTTCTCAGACGGTTACAATTCATGCCTGTGGACCAGAGCGGACTTGTCCACAAATGCATCAGCCTCATCAGCTAACAAGACAGATTCCTGGAACCCTCTTCGGTAATACCTCAGTTTATGGGAATGAGACATGCTTCAGGTTTTGTGTCTGCATGCAGGCAGTTAACTACATTTCCAGTAACTACTGTCTCGGTCACAAGGACAGGCTTAAGCAAACATTTCCACGGAGCGGCCAAGCGTTCAAGAAGCTGTAACCCACCAGGAGAGCTGGCAGCGCCGGCTATTCTGTGAAGCCGGCTTTTTCTGGAGGGTCCCTCTGCTTCCAGGTGAACAGCCTGTGAACACCCCTTCCCTCTAGGCTGCCTTGTCCCCCCGGGCAGCAGTCTGCTTGATCCTGGCGGCCGAGGAGGACCATGCCCCCTCACCTCCCTCCGCTCCCGGGCTCTGCATCCGTCCTTCCATGATGGAAGCTCTGTCCTGCAGTCCTGGGAAGTGTCTGTCTGTCACACTTGACAAACCGCCCTGAGGGCAGGGACAGTCCTATCTGCTTTGGTCACATCCCGGTAGCACCAAGCACAGGGCTGTGATGACAGCCACCACGCAATCTACCTCACCTCTGCTGACAAGATCTCAGCATAAATATGAGCCTGTGTATCGTGTCCTGACCCCCCTTAGCTGCAGTCTGTGGGCCTGGTTACAGCTTCCAGGCAATAAATCACCTGTGAGACAAGCGCCTTTGCTCCCCCTGCTAACGCAAGCCACTCATAGAAGAAAAAAACCAACCAACGATTCTAGGTAGTTTTACAGCTTGAGACAAGCAAGATGAATCTCTTGTGTCATCAAGTAATATTCACCCCTCTGCTTCAATATTCAAAACTTTTAAATCGTTAGTTAAATAAAACCACCTACCAACTTGAAATAGCACTTCAAAGATCCAGGAGGTAGAAAGAGAAATGGATGGTTTGTACGGAGAATAAGCGTAACCCAATTCACTGCTAATCCTCAGCGAAACTCACCACCTAACTCACGGACTAGAATGTGGCTCTGAGGTCCCAACAAGATCTATGGATCTTGTGGTCTTAAGTGACTTTTATTTGTACTTCCTTGGATTTTGTTCCTCTCCATCTACGTGGGTAAATGAAAATTCACTTCTTACCTGTTGCTACTCAGTTTCTGTGACAATCGCATGAGACACAAATCTAGGACAATGAGCTATAAAAATGTTAGTGTACCTTTTACAACCGCTTTTAAAAGGAGAGTTCCCTTCAAAAATCAAGAGAGAATTAACTGAGTTTCAGCTCATCGCACGATGGCCCAAAGGACCACCACACATGGGAACCACCAGCAGAATCAATACTGAATAAGCAGCCTCTAAAAACCACGCCGGATGACAGCACAGGAAATTAAAGCCCCAGTTCTTCCGTCACGAATTCCCTGCTACCGGAGGAAAGAGCCCACAGGTACGCTGGAAAACCAGAGAACAAAGCCAAATTCAGGGGCTGGGGACGCCGCGGAGACTTCTCACAAAGCCAGACTCCAGGCCGGAACCGCCCCAGCGAACACGCGGACGGGGCACAAGCGCAGGGACGAGGCGCCGTGCCCGCGGCAGGCCGGCCCACCACGGGGCCGCGCACACTCACGGCAAGCGACGCTTCCCCTGGACTCTCCTGAGGGCCTGCCTGCCGAGCCCGCGCCTGCCGAGCACTCCAGCGGCCGCGGGAACAGCCACGAGAGGCGCTTCCACGCCGAGGGGTCGACGCAGGGAGCGGGCCTCACAGCCAGGACGGCGCGAAGCCAGCAGGCGCCGCCGAGGTC